CGTTCGCGAAATAGCGCACACGATCTCTTTAAACAATGTTTACCCCGGTGGGCCAGCGCCCATCGTTGCTCCAGGAGCTGTCGCTGACGAGGGGAATCATTTTTTCCTGTCGGTTGTGCGGGTGGTGTAAGAAGAGCGGGAGGGTCGGTCTATTAGCATACGGGAATAGGGAAACTTTGGCGCACGCTAGAGCGGCTGTTGGCCCGCCGACAACGCTTGGTTTCGCCGGTTACGGTTTGGGATCGGCCGAATAGCCCGAACTTTCGACGTGTATCATCGCGGCTGAATAAAAGCCGGCGAGGGAGAACATATTACGGGGAACATATTGCCGTAATAATCCCGCGCGGCGCGCGTACGAAATAAAAATCTGAATATCGATCGGCGCTCTTTGTCGGCAGAAATAATTCATCGCGACCGAGGACGATTTTTGCATCGACATTATTGACGGCGAATATATGTATATCGACGACACGGGGTGGGTGTGTGTGTGTGTGTGTGTGTCACGTCGCCCCTTCCCCGCGCCTTAAATATTCTTATAATGAAAGAAGAGCATCGCCGGGGGGAGGGGGCGGGGGAAAGGCATGCGCCGCTTCGCGACCGCGGCGCGTCGAAACGTCGGACGTCGGCGACATTTTTCTTTTTTCGACGGTAACGAGATTAAACGTACGACTCGACTCTTTCGTTAGGAATGTTTCTTCGTATTCCCGATGAATCATAGGAAGAGAAATAGGCCGAGTACAATGTTACTTTCAACAAAATTTATTTGTCTCACAATTTAGATTCAAGTGAACCAATTGTGTCCCGTTCGGCAATGTCCCAACAGGTTCTATTGTTTGCACGATGGGACGTGTATGTTAGTAACGACCCCCGTTAGTAACGAGAGGGTTAGTAGTCGAGACGTTCCGAATGAGAAATCGCACTCGCGTCTCTCGTTCCGCTCTCGACGGGCGGAGAAATCTCATGCTTCCTGGATCGCGCGCACAAAGACCCTGATAAGATTCTCCTCGTTATCTGTGACGTAACTTCCTCTATAGCCTTGAAAAAGATATTTGTTCGCCATTAGCGTGTAACGTCTGCCGTGCATTAGCGATGCTATTATTATCGTGTTTACTTTGCAGATACGCGGAGTAACAACGCCGCGTCCCTTTGTTCCTCCTCGTGGATACGTGGCGCGCGAGCTCGTAACTGAGCAAAATGCGTGTTTATTCCGGCCCCCGGTTCAATTATGGCCGTTTCTGAATGTCTATTTGCTCGACACTGCCGCTTTAGTCAAGGCTTACGCGCGCGTTCTTCGTTTTCGAGGCGGCCGGAAGAAAAGGAGGAAGAAAGGAAAGAGATTCTCGCGCGCGCGAGGATCCGAGCGCGGCTGAGCGACTGGATACGGAAATCACGCCTGCGAAGGGAGAGAAAGAGAGCGAGGAAGGGAAAATGGGGGGCGGGGAACGGGAGGGGGAATACAGGCCGCGTGAGAAAGAGGAGCGCGACGGAAGGAGAAAAAAAATCAAATTAAGTCGACCGTGCCAGCGTTGCCATCAAAGGAAAACAACAACGGCGGCGGTGGCGCGCACGGCAACAATTTTACGATTCGCGTGCGGGCTAAAGGAATGGCGGAAGCGACGTGGCTGGGTGTGGACGTGCGCCTGTGTTGCGTGTGTGTGTGTGTGTGTGTGTGTGCGTGCGTGCGACGAGAAAGCGAGAGGACGGGAACGCGAATTCCATTCCATTAGTCGGCCGTTAACGATCGAACGTGTTCGCTCGGCCGTGTGCACGCAGGATATACGCCTCGGAGAGGTCCTCCTCCGTTGGAGGTCCTGCGGAATGCACAGAGAAAACCCGCCCCGAGCCCCATCCTTCGAGTCTCGCCTCTCGTCGAGCCTCGTTCTTTCCGCGATTTCTCCCCGGCGCGGGCGCGGCGGCGATTTTCCATTACGTCTCGTCGCCACTTTTGTTCCGCTCTGCTCGCTTTCGAGCCCTTTCGAACTTGCTGCGCGTGCGGTCGTCCGCCTCGGGTCTCGGCCTGAAAAACTCACCTACGCCCTTTATTTAAGCGTCGTGTGCCGAGTCTCCCGCCGCGCGGCACCTGCCTATTTTCCTGATTTCTCGCGCGTCGTGCGCGCCTCCTCCTCCCCCTCTTCCTCCTGCTCTCCTCCTGCTCTTCTCGCGCGAGATTGCATTCCTCCGAGATGCGTCTTCTGGCGCAGCCGCGGCTCGCTGCGCGGGCCATCGAACTTACGACGGCGATAAAATTTCACGGACTTTACGAGGCCGCGGTGGGCATGAAGCGCCGAAAGCGCACGTTCGTCAGGTCGCGCCGATAGAACTCGCGCGTCTTCTCTTCCGAGAGCGGCCGAGGGGACTCGTGTCATCCCGCTCTCTTTTCCTCGCTTTCTCCTTTCAGCCAGACCGAAGGAACCGGCAACCGAAGGAAAATCGATCTCGCCGCTCGCCGCTCGGCGATCATCCATCCGTCCGTCGAGCAACACATTCTTCTCTCTATTACTCGCGGCACTCGCGCGTGAAACGCTCTCCTCGTTCACGACGGCCTCGGCTCACAAGAGAGCGCAATTTCACTCGGCGAACTACGACGACGTAGCGCGGCGGCGCTGCGAAGACAATTCGACGAAAGGGCGAAACGCCCGCGGGCCGAGGGAGCCGCGCGTGCGGCCGACCCTATCCTCTCCTCTCCTCTCCGCTCCTCTCCTCTCCTTTTCCTGTGCTCTCTCATATCGCGTCCTCCGCCGGTCGCGGTTTCTCGTGCCTCTCCGCCGGTGCCTGGAAATTGAATTTCGGCGGCGCGCGCGGCTTTCTAATTCGAGTTTGAGGTTTCTCGCGGAACGCTCGTACGTTCGCAAAACGACCGAGATCAGGCTCCAACGGCGGGGATTTATTCGACTTCGCGATGGAAGAAAGGGATGGCGGCGGCGGCGGCGGCGGCGGCGGCGGTGGCGGCGGTGGCGGCGGTGGCGACTGCTGCTGCCAGCAGGAGGCGGGGGCGAAGGGTGAGAACGAAGGGTCGCGACCACAGACAGCAACCGAAAGCGCGAAACTATGGGGACTAACTGGTGGCAAGACGGGGGAACCGAGCCGGGGGGAGGGGGCGGCTGCGAGGGATTTATGGACCAACGGAGACTTACGACACCTGTTTGTACGTACGCAGGGTGTCCTGTCGGACGGTGAGGACGGGAAGAGGGGGGAAGCAGCCATGCGTAGGCTGACTGAATAAAGCTCGCAGTCGCGCTGTGAAACGAACGGTGAATTAGCGAAATGGATGGTGACTCGTCGCGTTCTGCGACGAGCGAACGAGTATTATGCGCCGGAGGCACGAGAGGATAACAGTCAGGATCCCGCAAGGGAGCTCCCACGTTGATGAAAAGTTTCGATCGCGCGGAGCCCATCCGCATTCGAGGCACAGCTTTTTCTTCGCCCCTCTCTCTCTCTCTCTCTCTCTCTCTCTCTCATCCGGTCAGCAACGGCACACCCCGGCGTACGTATAGACACACATACGCAAGTCTTCACCGTCGCCACTTGTCGCGCGCGGCGGACGTGCCACGCGCAAAGACATATGAAATTCGCGTCAGGCGCGCCAACGCGGTCGACTGCGAACGCCGGCGGCGTCATGCGATAATTCCCAACTTCTCCAATTATCGTTTTATCCTCCGTACCCTCCGCCTTGCCCGACTCTCTCTCTCTCTCTCTCTCTCTCTCTCTCTCTATCTCTCTCTATCTCTGTGGCACTTGTACAACTACTACTACTACTACCGCCGCCGCCGCCATTCTATCGCCATTCTACCGCTGTTACCGCGGGCGGGAAAGGAGGTCGAAGAGAATGAACCCGAGGTCGAGGAGAATAAGGCTCGGGCTGACGTAGCCCGAGCGAGAACGTCCGTCACGCGCTCGCGGCCGCAAACCACCGCGGGAGAAATAAGTATTCGCCGTGATCGGAATCGCACGAGCTGCGGAGGGATTTGATCGAATTAAAGTTTCGGCGGTGACGCGCGAAAGCGCTCGGGGAATCGACGCGGGGCCGCGCGGCGCGGAAAGAAGGAGAGCGCGAGGAAGCATCGGGAGATCTCATTAAGGGACGGCGCTGCTGCTGCTGCTGCTGCTGCGCTCGCAGACGATCTCGCGCGTTCTACTCCCGCGGCGTGTACGACTCGAGAGCCCGAAATCATTAAAAGAATCTGGGCCGAGTCTCTCGGCGTCTTCCTCGCGCCGCCACGTTCGCCTCATAGATCGATGCGATCCGCAGGATCGTCCCGCGTTCGACTCGTTGTTTTGTACTTCGCCTCGCATTCGAGGTGTCACGGTCGAGAATCCCCAAGCAATACGGGGTGGATCCTCGGCGTGCTCCGCGGGTCTTTGCGCGACGTTTATCGTAAACCGCATTAACTCGTTAAGAATTGTAATTGAAGGTCCGATCGATGAGATAATATTTCTCAAGATAAAAGACGGCTTCGCGCTGCGAGGTTATTATTATTTTCCAATTATTCGAGGTCCTTCCCTCGGACATTAACGCAAAGCCTACCATTGCGACGTGCTGACACCGGGTTCGTTCACCCTCTGCTTTGAATAATCAATAAATGATAAATTAATGTCGCGTACAGTTAAAAACTCCTAGTAGCCTAGTTGCACAAAATTAAGGCTATTACGCCGGTCCGTGTGTTAAACGGAGCAAAGAGAGCGTCGTTTGTTGAAAGTTTGTTACATAATAAATTTGTTTGCAAATTCTACTACGATCTTGTCACCACCACGTCAGCCGACTTGGCGCGTGTAAAGCAGAATGCCAAAAGCCAAGCGGGCTGCGCGAATCGCGCTCGTGTGTGCAAAAAATCAGCAGCAAATCTGGAATTTCTTACATTTCACGGGACCGACCAAACGTCGCGGTCGCGGTCGCGGTCGCGGTCTCGATCGCTGTCGAAGACAGAGCGAGCACCTTCGCGCGGAAAGCCGCCGTGACGGAAGAAAGCGGCGGGAATGAAGCAAACGCGCACGGCACTCACCGATCAGCTTGCCGAACTGCGCCGGGGGCTTCCACTCCGGGTAATGCCGCGGGAATCGCGCCCTCGACCAGTAGGTCCTCAAGGTAACCTTGTAGAGTGCCAGTTTGTCCTGCTTGTCCTGCTTCTCCTGCCGGTCCTGGGCGTACGAGCCGCACTGGCCATGGACGGAGAGGTAACGCGTGGCCAGCAGGAGCAGCAAGAGCACCGACCATCGGTGCCACGTGTCTCGGAACATCTGCGGACACACACACACACACATACACGTGCAGACGGAGGAGCCTGTCGCGGGGCGGCGGCGGGGGGGGGGGCGAGGGGGCACGCGCCGCGAAGAAATCACGAAAATCGCGCCGGCTGCGATTATCCCGCCGCTGCATGCGGCATGCGACATGCGACACGCGCATGCGCTAATGCGCTTTATGCGCTTCGCATACCGAGCCGAGCGGCGGCGGCGCGTGGAATTCGACGCACGCTCGCGCGCGCGCGCCGCTTTTCTCGAGCGTGTCGCTTGACGTGCAGCCCTTTGACGTCGCAGCTGGACTCGCTCGTGCGATTTTCAGCGCCTTACGCTTCGCCCGCGATAACTGTGTGTGGTGGCAAGCCTTTAGCCGTCCGCTGCTCCAACTTGTGTCATTTGCGGCGGGGAACATTTTCCACGCTGCCTTGGCGGCTGGAATCTGCCGCGGGCTCGCTCGAGGCTTAAGGCTTACGACTTGAGGCGGCGGCAGACGCTTTTAGCCGAAAATGAAGTCGCTCCTGGGCTTGGGAAGGGCAGAGAAGGTTAAAGGCTTACGTTACGCGTGGCTATCGTCGATCTCGGGATCGACACGGGATTGACCGCTCGTTTTTCCCGATGAAGCTTTCGGCAGCGCTTTTGCTGCTCGTGGGCTTGCGCGGTGATCGGGTCGTGATAGACAGTTACAGCGATCACACGGTTAGATATATTGTTCTCTGACGGATACAGTGAATACAGTGTAAAGATGATTACGTTCCTCTTCCGTTTTCCCAGTTTCAGACGTTTTACCTGGCTGTCGCTTTGGTTGTCTCTTCATGACGGATTATACCGCACAGGCTCGCGAGAAACGGCGCGCAATCGTGGGGTCCGATGAATCGCCAACCTTGTAAAGTTGTGAAATTCGTAGGAAGTTGCGCGGGGACTTTTTACGCCGACGTATGTATATTACGCTAATTTTCAACGTGAGCTTCAACGATTCACTAGGCTAAAAATCAGCAGAGCCTCCTTAATCATCCCCCATCGGGTATCCGGATAGATTATTATATGATGCCATACGAGATATAATACGATATGATGTAACCCGATACGATATAACGTAATATGATATGACACGGCACACGATATGAAAACTGGGCGGGATTGTGAAAGTGACAGATTAGCCGAGTAAAATCAACAGTCACAACTTTGGTTTGTCTCGTCGTGACGAATTAGCGCGCAGGCTCGTGAGAAACGGGACGCAATCGTAGGGTCCGACGAATCCTCAACTTCGTAACGTTGAAACTCGTAGGAAATCGCGGGGACTTGATGCCGACGTATGTATATTACGCTAATTTTCAACGTGAGCTTCAACCGATCACTAGACTAAAAAATCAGCAACTTCCTTAATCATCCCCTCATCGGGTATCCGGATATATTATTGTATGATGCCACACGAGATATACTATATCAATGATCAAAAAGTATCCGAACTTAATTTAAAAAAATCAAAATTACAATTCAATCGTGAGAATTCTTATAGTCTCCGTTTCAGCGATTTTTCTTCGATGTCCTCAATCGATTCGAATTCGCTGTGCGCGAAGTGGTTTTTTCAGCAGGGAGAACAGGAAAAAGTCGCAGGGGGCCATGTCTGGTGAATACGGTGCTTGCGGAGCTCAACTTCGTTGAGCTTTTTGTCAGAAATTCACGGACGAGTATCGAAAGGTATGCGATGGTGCGTTGTGTCGTGATGCAAAATCCACGAGTTGTTTTCCCACAATTTTTTTCCGGATTGTCGTTTCTTACGGATTGTGCGCTGGCATGATCCAAATGCTGGCATATTCCAACTTCATCTCTCGCACAGTCAATCGACGATTTTAGAGCACCAAAATTCCTTCACTTTCTCAATGTGAGCGTCATCCGTTGCCGTTGATGGTCCTCCAGAGCGTAGATTGTCTTCAACGGATTCTCCTTTTTCTTGAAACTTCTTGAACCACTCAAACGTACCACTTGTTTTCGATAAACAGCATCATCGCCATAAGCTGTTCGCAACATTTTGAATGCGTTTGTGAACGCAATTTCGTTCGCGACACAAAATTTCAAACAAATTCTTTGCTCCATGTTTCTCGCCATCGTCAAAATCGCCGTGCACAACAAACAATCTTCACTGACACAAACAACTGCCACTTTCAAACGGCTTGAAGGAACGCCGTGATGATTTTTTCACCAAATGTGGAAGGACACGTGTACCAACTTAGGAAAGCAAGCGGATTTGATTTACAGTTTACCCGCGATTTTTAAAAGACAAAGTTCGCATACTTTTCGATCGCAGTAGTAATAGTAGATACGATATAACGCGATATGATATAATATAATATGATACGACGCGACACACGATATGAAAACTGCGGGCTTGTCAAAGTGACACAGATTAGCCGAGAGTAATCAACGAGAGTCACACAACGCGTATATACACGGCTATGCGGCGTCGACGCGAACGGCCAGAAAGACTAGCGAGTTTTGGTTCCCGTCGGATCTAATTCCTAACAAATGGAAGTTTCATCGAGGAGAGAGGCTCAGCGTACAACGAGACCCGCATGGGAAACGGTGGGTGGAGCGAGACTCACGTCGGCGTCACAGCGAGCACTCTTTGCTGGTGTAAAAATCGAGAATCCTCGCGCACCCTCGCGAGCCGATGCGCGCAGTCGTTGTAAAAATAACGCTGAGCGCGGGGACCATAAATCACGGTTCATATCGGCGTCGCGCGCGCGCGCCCTTCGTCGTGTAACGGCGCATTCGAAAGAACGGATTTAAAGCGACACCGTGACGCGAATTAAGAGTTACATATACATGGAGTCGCCGTTTGCAGCAGTCGAGTCCCCTCCGTCTCGACGCGATTCACCCCTCACTCCGCTCCCGCTGCGATGACAATCGTGACGTTAACTTTTGTTTGCGTTTCGATATCTAATATCGAAGATGAAAAAGTTGCAAGGTGACGAAACGAGGTTTGCCAAGCGTGAGAGAAGAATTTGCGATTAAAGGAAAATGGGAAACTTCCCCAAAGCGGCCTGCGCGAGAAAGAGAGAGGGGAGTGAGAGAGAGAGGGAGAGGGGGTGTGGTATCAAGGGGAGATAAAGAATTGCGAGAGAAAGAGGGGGAAAGAGGAGCGGAAGAAAGAGGAGGGCAGGAGAGCGGTCACTTCTGATAGTAATTTTTGCCATTATCACTGAACGATACCGCCGGGAGAAATAAAGTTTGTCCGTTTTCGAGGGCCGGGGACCGTGAAATGGAATAAAGCGCGAGAGCGAACGCGATTCATCACGCAGCGCGAGCGCGTCGAGCGTCATCTGATACACAGCCGTCGGTATCGGGGGGAACGTCGCCGCGCGTTTTAACATCGAGTCTATTGGCAGCGAGCCATTTTGCATGCATTTCGGGCAACGCGCGCTATCGAGGAACCGCGAAGTGCGCTCGCGGCGGCGACGCGCGTGTCCTGTTGTGTCTCTGTCGCGTTCGTCCATGTTAAGACCATATCACACTAGCGACTCGCGGTTGCGACTGCGATTTCTTGTTTTCCGATCAGACTTGCGATTGGCGATCACGACTGCGGCTAAATACCGTTAACATACTGTCGCACGTACGATCCCAGAGCAGGGGTTCACATTCTACGAGATCTACTAGATAATAGTCCATCTCCTTGTTAAATTGTTTTGACGTTTGAAAAAGAATATATAACACATGAAACAACACTAAATATAACCTTGTTCTAATGATCACCGACTTCTGCATACTATTAAATAAATGTGATTATACGGAGTTCCGTGATTGGTTGCGACTGCGACTGAGACTCGAAAAATGGACAGCCGTCCAAACGATAGTCGCGAGTCGCTAGTGTGATACGGCTATTAGGAGCTTCGGCGAAAGTTCGGCCGCGCCGCGCCGATGATTTCACAGGCTCAACAGATGACCGATTTGTAATCGGATTACTCGGAAGTTGGCGGAAAGCGGCGGCGGAGGACAACAGAGAGCCGGGTATTCGCAGTCGGTGCGCGACGCGCGTGTGCTGTTTGATGAAATTTTTCGGGAAATCCTACTCGAAGCGAGCCGGGAATACCGCCGCGCGCTCGCCTGCTCGGAATCGCGCAGAACAGCTCGACAGCGAATGCTCGACTCTCAAACTTGGAGCGGGTTCTTCGGGTCCATGCCCGGGCCGCTGACATAAGTTTCAATCGATCATAGCGAACTCGTGCAGTACCGCGGACAGTAGAGTGTGCTCGTCAGGTGCACTCTTCGATTCCGAAGGAAAATACTTCGCTCTGTGTGACTGAGAAATCGTCGCAGTCTCGAGTGACTCAGTCGCTCCTGTGCTTTTCTGTCGCGAGGGAATCTCGCTCGCGAAGAAATTTTGAGCGCAAGAGCAACGGAATTTCGGCTTCGGCGAAAGAGATTGAGAGCACACGAGAGAAGAAACTCGGCTGCAAGCCCGGCCCGAACGTTGCCGCATCGCTGACGTAATCGCGACATCTTCGCGGGGCTTAGGCCGCCGGTATAATAATCCCGTTGCTCCCGCTTCCGCGGAACAAACAAACGGCCGGGGACAAATAAGAATAACGCGCGCGCGCGCGCGCGGTTCTCTCTCGGCTGTCGAGAGACAGACGACGCGGGCCAACTAACGACGCCGTGTACGCGTACGTGATAGCTCGTTAAGATCGTATCACACTAGTGACTCACGACTGCGTGGCTGCCGATTGCGATTCTTCCTTGACCAATCAGAAAGCAACGACTCGCGGCTGCGACTCACGACAACGTCGTTTCGACGGCTTTCTGACTGGTCTTGAGGAAGAATCGCAATCGCAGCCGCAGCCGCGCAGTCGCGAGTCGCCAGTGTGATACGCGCATTAGGCGACGAGCGCGAGGCGCGAACAATAATCCAGGCCGGCGTTGCGAAGGCGAGCGTGCGCGGCTTACGAACTGTGTATTGTTGAGCAGTTTCGCGTTGGTAGCCCGGTTTCGGCGCGGTAAACAAG